CGTTAAAGTTTCGTTCGAACAAAGTTACGGAAAAATCAATTAACAAACGGAGACGTAACAATACATTTACATGAACTAAAGAAAACTGACTCAAAACAAATAATCTCAAAAAGATGCAAGGTTAAGATAAAACTTAACACAATCCAACAGGGTACACAAAATCACACTTAATCTGAAGGTGAACTTAAATCCCCTCAAAATAACTCAAATTAGTCCAACACAAACAAATAAAACATATGATGGCACTTGGCAGGAAGCTTGAGGGCGTAAAACATTAAAATCCAGGGCTCATTTCCTGCAGTGGATACAGCCAAGACAGCCCATTGAGTAGCTCTGCACTTGACAAAACAAAGACAAATAAATCCCTTTAAACAAACTCAGTACTTAAAACACACTAAACGAAAGACCATTCAGAGGTTTATCACTAAAAGAAGAATAAGTTATGTTATGTAAACAAAAGTAAAATGTGGCAGGTTTAGAAAAGAAGATGCTTGAGGGGAAGAAACGTTTTAACACCTAAACCCACTACAGAAGAATTATGCTTCTTGGGCAGCAAGTTCATTTCTACTACTCATTACAAATTTTAATCCTTCTAGATTGTAAAAACTTCATTAACTCATTTGAAACATAACTAGTCTGGTTCTGGTTGAAATTTATAAAAATATATACATAAAGCAAAGTTAAGAATGAAGTCAAATTTCCTTGATAAGCTTTAGGCAGACGTGCTAGAGTAATTATATAATTATACTCTCTTAACTCAGTGCTAATTTCAGATGCTAAAACCACTTAATTAGTCATTTAGACAAAGATTCACATAAACATTTAAGAGTAATTAAAACTGGATATTCTGACCAATCCCTTCTTGGGAAATAAAAAAATGTATAACATAAAATATCTGTTTATGTTGGTAGTTGGTGTAGTGGGAGGAGAGTATTCAAGCATTATCTGTCAATATGAGACATTAAAACACTCTTAAATATTTTCATTAAATTACATATCACACTTGGTTAATATATTAAAAAATGAGTTTCAAAGTAAAATATTTTGTTATGGAAATTTGGGAATTTACTTGGAGATTGGTCCAGTGATGCTCTACAAGAATTCAAAGATGATAGTTGATAGAAACCTGAAGCTATTAGTTAGAGTTTAGCTATGCTGAATGGAGTCCCAGAAATTATTTTCTGAAATTTTGAAGTTACGAGAAAGAAAGTTATTTTAGTTTTATATAAAACTCTTGTGAAGCCTCATTTAGAATGCTTGTGCAGTTACTCTCACCATCACAGGAAAGTTATCAAATACTACAATAATACATTATTTAATAAATATAAGCTCTTAAGTGGAGCTTAAAGGTTTTGACTTCTGTATTCTAGACTATAGAGTAAAGAACTAAAAGTGACATAATTCAGGTATTTCAAAGTTTTAGGTAGGGGTAATTCTACCTATGGTTGATTGTCTGAATGGTGCAATGAAATGGTTAGAAATAGAAGCTTGATTATTAAGAAGAATAAGTATAAGCCTTAAAAGCCAAAATTCTGACTTATTTTTGGCAACAATATTTCTCATGTAAATTTAGCTCATGATGAAGTTCTGCTGATAAAATATTTTAAATTTTTTAGGTAGGTATATGAATGTGAAAGACTAAGTTAATTTTGTTTTTTGATACTTTGGTTGTTGCTCTGGTGAATAGGAGGATGATTTTTATGGAACAGATGACTTTCTGTCATCTTACACTTTTATTCAAAAAACAAGAAAAAAAATGTTGTTCAAAACTTTGGCCATGTCCCTTCTTCCAGTGACAAAAGGTTGCAATTGACATCTCCTCAAGGATAAACGTGTTTTGATTTTATTTAAACAGTTTATGTAGGCATGATATCTGTTCAACTCAAATTCTATGTCTTTTATCATTTTTGTCCTGACAATAATTTTCTTGACTTATTTTTAGTTATTTTGGTGAACCTCAACAGTCTTCATTTCACAATAAATAAATTATATAATGCGGCTATATAACGTGAAGAACTGAATAGTGGCCAATGTCACTTTTTCTTTACTTCATCTAACCAGTGTATAGGTTTTTCTCATAGCAACTTCAAAGCATGTTCACACCATCAGAATGTTTAATCCATCATTTCATCAGAAAAGTTCATATTCAAGAAAATTTTACATTTTATTTTTTAATAATTTAATTTTGCTATTCAAAGGAGAGAAAATAATAAGATAGTATTAGTTAATTTTACTGATATTAGTAATAATAATATGGCCTGAAACTTAGCCCCCACTGGCATGGACTTACAATGTTAGAAACAGGGTTTCAATACTTGTGGTGGGCAGAGAACAGGTAGTCCTTTGTTTAGCTTTATGCTTAATTACCAACAAACAAACCTGAAATTAGTTAATACATAGGTTGGGTGTAATAAAGTGCACAAAATGTCCCCCAGGATCGAAAAGAAATGAAATAGGATGTAAATATAGTTTCAATAGCTGTATGTAATCTTGAATTTGTGACTTTTCATAAACCAAAGCAAAGAATTATGTTGTAAAAGTCACAATACGAGTTGATTTGAAATTGTCTTCTGTGGACTAAAGAATTAATACTTGCAAAGAATACTATACACTTGAAGAAGTTAGTTTGACAAAAGTTTAAATTCCATGCTCTGCTTAGGACTCAGTCTTTAAAGGTCTACTCCCTGTTGATATAGCAAGTTGTTTCCACAACATTTAGCTAGTATTATCAGTGTCACTCATGGGTAGAAAAAACGTTATGCTGTGATCATATTGAGTCTGTTTTATGAGGTTGTGTAGATGATATATAAGTAAAGTTTGCCCCCAAATGGTTTTCATGTAATGCACAGATATCCAACTATGTGAAAGGTAAAAGCCAGTAAAGTAAGCATATATAGTTTAGACATAGAAATCAATGCATGAAAATTTTAAACTAACTATGTACCAACAGTTATGTTTGAAAACAAAAGGAAAATCACCACATATGGTTAAACTTCAATATCCTTATGGGGTTTATGCAAAGCTGACCTAGTAATATTTAATACACCGAAGAAATGGGCTTGAAAGTTTTTCGTACACTGGTATCTTATTATTGTTACTAATTTCAAAATTTCTACAAATATAAGTAAGCCAAACGTTTATTTATGGATATTACACAGTTAAATAAAATTATTGTAAGTTACGCGAAAGAAGTTCATATAACATTCTTCACAATCACAATTTAAAAGTTTAAATGCCCCAGCTGTTTAAAAGCTTCTTTTTTTTTTGAGCAATGCATTCTGGGTAGGTATTTAGTATTATTAACATTACAGAATATATATTAACACTTTATATTATATTGATTTTACGTACAACATACAAGTAATTTTCTATTTCTTTATTGTATTTTTATACTATAAGTAAATCATAAATCCAAATCAGGATATTGACGTCACGTAGATCATTAATATTTTCCCGCCATGCAATGCATAATACTCCAATACGCCATTTTGGCATGACTGCGTGATAAGAGAAGTGTAAAATCTATCCGATTCCATCCACTTTCTTCCTTTTTCCATAAAAAAAATGGAAAACGCATATGGAATCGGTGTAAAAAATAGATATGATATATTTTTAAACGAGGAAGAAGATCCTTTGGAAATCCTAAAACAACATGAAGAAGAAAAGGAGAAGAGAAAAACAGATAAGGTTGGAAAAGAGCCGAAAGGGAAAGGCGTTAAAGCTGGAAAACAGACATCAGTAATTTCAGCCCCTAAAAAAGGCGGGAAAGAAGATACTCCTAACAACGCAAGAAGTCAAGAACCACAACAAAAACGAACGGGTAAGATAAGACAAATTTAATCTTTTCACTTATTTTGAATTCAACATTAAAGAAAAGTTAGGCCTAATTGAGTAAAGAGTGAAGTGCTAATGCACGTGATAAACAAGCACGAGTCCTATGTTCTCTTCAAGTTCTAACTTGGACGTGTTGTTTGAAACCATAGATAAGCTGGGTAATACTAGTAATAGTGTTTTCTTTGTTTTTTTCCAAAGTAAATTTCCTTAAAAAAGTTTAGTACTCATTTATAAAGTTATCAAAGTTAAATGACTAGTGAATGTTTTTATTCTGTACTTCATAACAAGTTCATTACAATATCAAACATGTAATGTGAAAATAGACATTTTTAAATGTTATTTCAAGATGTATGTGAGAATCATGTCAGATAGTAATATTTAATTTTGAGGTTCAAATGTGTTAGTTTATATTTGTGATAATGTATGTTGTTAAATTGATTTTACATGATTTATTTGATTGACATATTGAAATTCTTTGCATTGGGCTGTTTAAATAGGACGTGAATATCAGTCCTACTAGTATCTGTAGAGCTAATTGTAAAGTATCTTTGGTTGCAGTTAGAAAATGTGCAATACTTTTTCCACTTGACAGTATGGTTGAATGGTAAAGCAAAGGTAATCTAGAAATAAAGCACAATGCTGTAGAAAGTAACTATTCTTTGATTTTGTTGTGTGTGTAAATATATATATATATATATATATATGTGTGTGTGTGTGTGTGTGTGCAGGAAACTTTAATATTCCATTAAATATATTCACCTCTTAGATTATGTCTTCAGAAGCACACTAAAACACAATCAATAGCATGTCAATATGTTATTATCATTAGTTTTTAGGCATCTTTGTCTTTGACAGATTACATTGACACTGATTTTTAGTTGCTGTTGTTTTACTGTCAGATGGGAAAATTCAAGATAAAACTGAATTCAGTTCTATCAGTGCGTAATGATAAGGTGTCACACTAAAGGTTAATAGTGAATTGTAGAATGGTTGTATAAGAGAAATAAAACTGGACCATTATTACTAGTGGAGTGACCTGGTGGCCCTTGCTTTTTCAGGTTTACTGTAATGATGTTGATAGGGCATTATTATTAAATTAGAAAAGTTTACAAATGGTTTTAAACTGGTATTTCTAACTGTATTGAGAATGTTAAGCTATTATAATTTATAGAATAGCTTCAGTTGGTTGATTAGTTTGAGAGGTATTTGGCAAATACAATTTTATTATAAGTGCAAGGAAATGAATTTGTTGTTTATCGTAATTTAGATCATACATTTAGAATAGATGGAAAGCCACTCAGTAATGTAAGGAAAGAAAAGGACCTTGGCATGTGTTGGATAAGTCATTCAATGCAGTGCTGTATTACTAGTAGTAAAACTAATATATATTTTTTCAATCATACTGAATGCTTCTTATAAGAAGTAATTCTATCTCTATACAAGTCACATAATTAGGCCTCACTTGGAATACTGCGTACAGCTTTAGTCGTAATATTCAAGAAGGGATATTGACTTGCAGAATGTTACTGAAAAATAGTTCAGAAGAAAATCCACTAGGATAATTTTGTGGTTGGAAGAGTTACCTTCTAGGGATGCATTAAGATCTCTTATTTTCTTTTGAGAAATGATAAGAAGTGTGAGCTTATTGAAGTTTATAAGGTTATTCATATGAGTAGTGTCTTTAACTTGTTATATTCTGAAGACAATAGGATGAGAGGGATTTAGTACTTTCTTTGAAAATGAAGGATGGTTGTGCAGGGACATCCTTGAAGGAATGGACGGTTTCTTGTTGTCCATATGATATAATTAAGATGAACCTAAATGCAGATTTTTTTACTTTTTGAATGATTAGAGATTTGATAGCATACAGTGCCTTGCAAAAGTATTCACCACCGCCCCCAACTAATGATGTCACATTTTGATGAAATACAAATAATCTAAACAATTTTTTTAGAGTTTTTGTTCAAAACTCTAATGATCAAACTTAACACCGATATGCATGAAGGAGGTTGAACGTCAGCAAAACCTGCAAAGAAAAAATATAAATTTGTATTTGGCCCCTAAGTCAGTAATTTGTCGAAGCACATTTGGCAGCAACTATTGCTGTGATTCTTTTCAGATAACTCTACTAGTTTGGGATTGTGTAATTTTTGCCCATTCTTCCTGTTAAAACTGCTTTAATTCTGACAAGTTTGTTGGGGATCATTGATGAACTACAATCTTCAAGTGAGGACATTGACTGAGCCACTCCAGCATATTCACTTTCTTCTTTTGAAGATAGACATTTTTACTTTGTAAGGGCCAGATTTATGTGAGCTGTACATGCTGCATAAGATACTTGTGTGGCAGTATTATTAGCCAGAGATGGTTAAAAGGTCAATAAAACTATTAAGTATAAACAATTGTTACAATTTGCAGTCATTTCCTAGTTTTTATGGTGATTACAAGGAGGCTGAAATTGACATATCTTGAAGAGGATTAGGGTAGGTTATAGTAATTATGCAAATGAAATTGTACAATTTTCAGATGAAAGGTATTTTTATTCTTGAAATAAAATAAAAAATAACAAGCAAATCTTTAAAAACCTGATATTTTATGTAAAAAGCCTTGACGTTTATCAATAATCTGTAAAATTTTGTACACATATACTATCAAAAGTTATAGTATGACTACTCTAACTACTGCTTTGGTGGTTATGGGCTGGGTGCAATGCACTCGGGTTGTAGTCAAAGAGTGAGTGTGTAATTTTACATTAGTATATTTCGTGATATTTGGCCATAGGCCATCAACTGTATCTTCCAAAAATGGAAAACATTGCTTAGGTATTATGTATTAGAAATATTATTGACTTAAGACAGCATGGATTGTTTCAGTCTCAAATAAGTTGTTTTTATAATTTATTAATACTTTGAATAAAAGATCTTACAACACAGGATTTCGTTTGTACTAACTGGTACTTGTATTTATCACATAGTTATTCTCTTTGAGATACTTGGAAAGCCTTCACACTAATTTAGATGTTTACTTAAGTAATGAGAGGAATAACAGAACATTTTTTTTAATTTGCTTAAAAAATAGTCATATACAATTCTGAATTTACAAAGTGTATTTTAACAAAATCTGGTATGCTTTTAGTGAACATGAAAAAGTAGGTTTTACACAAAAAAATCAGATTTTTCAAAAGTATTTTTACTACAAATGTGTTCTGAATTTACAAAGTCATTCTGACTCAGACTTTGACAAATTTGAAAGCAAGGTGATTTTCATTTTAAAAATAAGAATCCTTTTTCTCATGATTCAGTTTTCATAATTTCATGTGCACAAACTCTAGAACCTCCTAAATGAATATCAGAACTTTAGTTAACATTAAAGAGTGGCAAAAGGTAAAATATGAAATAAAATCAAAGTACTTTTTCCCCAAAATGACAGCAGATTGTAATCTACAATTATAATTATCTGAAAAACTAGGCCTCTAATATTTTCACATTGTTTTGTTGCATTGAACCAAGTCTAATTACTAAACTAGCAGTAACAAAGCATTAAATCACCTGGCAATTGTATAACTCAAGCTGTAATAAAGTATCAAAAGTATATAACATACAATGAGTCCGTGTACATTCCTCACTAAGAATGTCAAAAGTAATCTGACAAGTTTGGAAAGCCTGTATCTGTGTTTGACTTTCTGGCTTATATTTCAGTAAAATGAAAAGATTGGATCCTGTACAGTCTTAGCAATATCTATACTATAAGTGTCATGACAAACTCTGAAGACTATGTAGTTGTAGCACTATAGTGAAATAGCCAATTTGGAGCAAAGTAGCACACAAAGACTAAGAATTTATCTAAATATTTCCCTTTTAAATTGCATTCTTATGCCAAATTTATTGACATATATTGATGATAAAACTTTTTAAGTACACTTTTGAATGTAACTAAAAAATGGTGACATGCACGCTTTGACTCAGCTGTACACGTAGGACTAAAAGTACATGTCTGCAGGAATTTAGGAACTTTGTAGTTTTGCAATCTGTATTCATTTACTCAAAATTTGAAGTGGTAATAACTATTTAGGATTCCCATTTCAAATTATATGAAATAATTGCAAATTTCACAATCTTTGGTAATATTTTGTATGACATGCCAAGTTTACATGTGAATTTTGAAAAGCATGCTGTTTCTTTATGCATGCAAATAAAGTACTCTGTGTAAAATATCTGCACGATGATTTGAAAAATGTGTTTGTTGTTTGGGAAACTAAGCAGCTATTTTTGCCTGTACAGAGAGACCACCACCAAGGATTTCTGGAGAAAGAGCTAGATTTGGTTCTCAAGATGAGCATAAAGAAAATGAAGAAAGGAAAAATAGAAGGAACAGAGATGTACCATTTATACAACCTGATTCAAAGTGAGTATTTTATAAAGAAATGGGTTATACTTGAAAGTAGTCCTTACTAAATCATGAATGTTGTGTATACTAGTTTAAAACCTAATTTCATGACATACTAGCTCTGCTTTTAATATCTAGTTATAAATACATTATGGAGCTAAGAAAGTAAATAATTTTTCAACAAATTAGCCAACTATAGTAATTTATATAAGTTTTAGATGTGTTTCTAACTGCCATTGTTAAGTAGGGTGTTATTTTTCATGACAGGACTAGATACTGTTTGTCTAACTGTTCATTATGATATTCCACTGAAGAATGTTGGTACAATTTCTTGTTTGTTTCTTTTAATTTCTTACATATATTAACTGCATTATGGCTAACTTTAAATTTTGCAGCAATTTGTCTAATCCAGTTGTAAAATTTGTGGCCAAACTTGAAAATGCTATAGCCGTGTCTAACAGTGAAGTATGAAATTGTGGATGGTACGTGAATTAAAGCTTAAATATTTTTTTCTTACAACTATGGTTACAAAAAAATATCATATAGCATCTGTATCTGCATTCATTAATGCTGTAATTAACTTAGTGACATGAAAAACATCAAACTATTAATTTCGTGTTATGTGATGCCAAATAGTATTGTTTTAGTGTGGTTACTTGTGACATATATTTTATAAAAAATATAAAAAAGGTGGGTAGAAATAACTAATTTTAGTTTAGCATGACACTATATGTTCAGTGTTCTAAAAGAATTAGCTGACAGTGATTGTAATAGTATGGTATCTTTCCTTCATTTCCCTTGATTAAACTGGTTTAAAAACACACAAATGTGTATTTCCCCTTGCGACACAAGCTGTCTATTTTCATTATCCATTTTCCTGCTTCGCGTGAGAATGAAACTGAAATTTACCACTTACATTAGCACAGAAAGATTGTCTTGTGTTACTTCTAACTACAGTGAAAAGAGTTCTTTAAGTGTGTGTGTGTGTATGTGCTAATACATTACGTGATTCATAATTTAACAAATTTATGGTTCTATTGAAAAATGTATGAGCAAACACTTAACCCATGTTACATTGTGTGGTGTATCTCAATCAAGTTCATGGATAAAGAAATTAAAGTTTACCAGTGTGATGTCATAAAGAGATAAAATAGTGGCATATGGAGTAGTAATTAGAATATATTTTTTATTGGTCGCAGTAGTTGTTGTTATCATGTTAAAATCTCAAATTTTTACATTGTTGTGCCAAAAGCTTGGGATTACACAAATTCCACATTTTTTAATTGTATATCCCCTTTAAAAGAGTACATGTAGACTTGTTGCTGCACAACTGTTGTTTTGATATATAACATGTAAATTTCCAGCCTTTATTTTACTGTTCAAGTCTTTATGGTGCATATGTTTTAAGTAATATACATAACTGTTCACCTGATCAATCATGGAGCTTTAGCACAGAATTCAATTGAGATGCCAGATTTCTTTATATTTATTGGTGATTATTGTAAGTATGCATAATAGAAAGTAGATAAAGGGTAAGAGCATTTGTAGTATGATTTAGCAACAACTGATAAAATACACACAGAATAGCCTTTCTACTGGGAAACCATTGCCAGTCAGTGACCAGTTACTACTTTTCCTGGTCACCATACAGGACAAATTGACCACTGCTTGACACTCGTTCACAATTGATCGGCATTTATGTATTTGTAATTACACATGGGGAAATAATTCTTTAATGTAGCAGTGCAGTTTTTAAAACTGTCTGTTCATATTGACAGACCCTGTATCTGTGATGTTAAACATATTAGTATTTAGTATAATTCTTAATTGAATAAGTGTGGCTTACTGAAATTTGGCAAGCTTTTAGTAAATGTTAGTTTTGTTGGACATAAGTCATATTTTTTTTTAATAAAGTGTTTTTACTGAAGGTTAGTCTGTGAACTTCCAAAGCCTTTACTGGGTCAGTCTTGAATGGAAGGTGATTTCATGCTAAAAAATAAAAATTACTTTTCATCTCACAGTTTTCATATTTTGTTTGCATAGCATCTAGAACCTCCTAAATAAATATCAAAAGTTTTTTACATCTGTATCCTTTTAATTTTATGGATTTATTGATGTACTTCGTACCTACTGAACCAGTAATCCTTGCATCAGAAGTACTATACTATAGTGGAAGCTGGTTAGCTGTTTCTTGTAGAGCTGATGTGAACACCATATGATTGTCAGAAGTACTAGACTATTGTGGCAGCCAGTTAGCTGTTTCCTTTAGAGCTGATGTGAACACCAGGTGATTGTCAGAAGTACTAGACTATAGTGGCAGCCTGTTAGCTGTTTCTTGTAGAGCTGATGTGAACACCAGGTGATTGTCAGAAGTACTGAAAAGTTGATAAGAAAACAATCTTGAAAATCACAGGAAAGGGATGGAGATTCTTTGACCGGTTTGACAAAAGGAAGAAGATTAACGTTTTTCTCAGTTTCTGTAATTATGTGTAGTTTTTTTATAATTGGTTGGAAACTGGAGCATCCT